CAATCAGCAAGTAATTTTCATAAGAGTTTCAGTAATCATGCGAAAGCTCAGATCCTGTGAGACTGCCATACATAATCATTTTTTGAAAGAGCTCTTTTATAGCGCTGTAGCACTCAAAATAATATTACCTTTCACATGTGCCACGTGCTTTTCTTACCATCTCGCTCATATTTCACTGGGCAAAACTCTGTCTTTAAACTACTAATTAGCGTTCTTAATCGCATATCCTGGAAATTCCAAAATTGCGTTTGCTTTCTAGAAGAGCTTTTTCGACAGCGAACTAACAAAAAAGTTTTGTATTTCATCCTTGCGTTTTTCTCACAGGATACAGGTTTTTTCTTGAATCATAAGTAACCATTCGAGCGTAAGTTTCGGTGACTCAAACACTATACATATTTTTTGAAAAGATTTTCACGTTAAAGTGCAGGAGGAAAAATAGGATTGAGTTATACATACGCGACGCATCGCTTGTCGACTTGTGTGTGTGAGTGATGTGGATCGATAGACCACGCAGAAGCAATTCACATGTGGAGTGCGATTTATGTTCTTTGAATTTAAGAAATTACCAGCTTTGAAATAAACCCCAGATAAAACGTATAACTCTGATACTACATGATTTTTTTACACATTCAGATGCATTTCTACTTTCAGCGAATCATAACCGTGATAGAAATAAAATCGCACGGCGGTGTGAGACAATTATAATATAACAGGGCCTTTTCAGAAAACGAGAATGTACAGTACTCCTTCGAAATCTCAGTCTTTGAATGATTGCCAACACTATTATCAAAAATTCTTGTTCATCGAAAGGGATCGTTCCTTTATTTCCTGTGAGATAACTGAAGTAATGAGAGGGTGCGCAAAAAGTTTTGATAATTTTTTCGGATATTTTGATAATAAAATTACTACATAGACAAATATATTTCTTCGATTCAAGCAATGATTACCTTTTCATCAACAATCATAACAACAAGCAGAAAAGTCTGTAACAAACTCTCAAAACTGCCTCCTTTGACCTCTATACATTTACGACGTCGCTTGCGTAAATTTTCAACGTTATTCGCACACGTTTCCACCGTATTTCCATCGTACAAAACGCGTGCCAAAGCAGTTTCAAGTGCGTCCACGCTAGTGTAACGAGTAGTTGAGACTTTTTACTACAGTATAGACCACACGAAGTAATTCATTGGGTTTAAACCTGGGAACTTTGACGGTCATATATCCTCGATCTAAAAACCAGGAAGCAACTCTTGACAGATGGCAATTGTTGAGCGAGCCGAATACGCAGGACGTCAGTTCTGCTGAAAGTTTAATCCGTCGGCACCAAAGTGCTGAATGCTTCAAGACTTCACTGCGCTTTGTAAAACGTGCTGCTGATCTCTGACAACATTGATTTAGACGCTTTGGTTGATGAAGACCAAAGGCATCTTTCCGGTGGCGCAAACGCCGGCCCCAGACCATCACAGAGGCTGGAAAATGACTGCGGCCTATGGTTTTCGTTCCGTGAACTTTTGCTGACCCTTCTTGAAAAGTTGGCGTAGATTCTCACAATTTTGAAGTTTTCCGACCGTGAATATCTTCTCATCCGTAAAAAGCACCTTTGACAAATGATCACCAACTATGAAGCGAATCATACGGCGAACCTTTGAAAAACGTTTTCTCTCATTTTTTTACGAGAGAATGAACGCGGGCAATCTAATAACTGCGCAGCTTCAGCATATTTTGACAATGTCTTGGACACCCCACTCTCCAATCCCAAGCTTCCCAAAGCATTTGGCGCACTCGAGCGCTCCGAATTTATTGAAATTGGCAGCGAAGCTTTGAATGTTTTCCGGATTAGAGCGCTCTTTGTACGACCTTTTCGGAGACGATCCTCAATCTCTTTAGTCTCTGTGAGACGTTCCACATCTGCAGACATTTGCTGGTTCAAGACTATTCGATTTTAACAATGTCGGCCGTTTTCTATCGCGTCTTGTGCAGCTCAACTACCGCGATGCGCTGATTTTACGATCCATAACTTGAGCATACTTGAAAATAGGCAAATAAATCAAACAGATTCTTAACCAAAAATGGATAAAATTCATTAAAACTACCAGCATCAACAAAAAAATTTCTATCAATTCGAAAAGCAGCAAAATGAAAAATTGTTAGAACTTTTGCGTACCCTATACATATATAATGCCTATATATGTTTGGTAGACCAAACCCCGTTGATGGCAGAGCAAGAGCCTAGGTAGTGTAGCGAGAACGCGTTCCACTAAGGGAGAAACGCGGATTGGTCTCCCGCCTCAAGTTTTGATTTATGTATATCACACAACATTTTTCGATAATTGTACTCGCTAACGATTATGAGTTTGCTTAGGAGTATTTCATTAGTACTTTCCTTATTAAGCACATGTGAACTTGTAAACGGAAGTATTTATTGAATAAACTAAGACATTGCGATAATAATACAATGGCTGACGTTTCGGCGGTATCGCCTTCTTTCAGAGCCTGATGTGGTGTTCAAACTGATTCAGACACTACTCTGTCAAATATTTTTTTTAACTCTAGCAAAAAGAACGTATCAAACAAATTGTGGTTCAGGCAGTCAACAATTTTCTCAGAAAGTACTTAGCGTTTTGTTGTTTCAAATTTCTCAATCAGTCACTGAAGATCACCCGCAGAGAGTCGTGTATAAGGTAGGGTACCAAGTTTAGACCAAGAATGATTAGCTTAAAATATGGTGCGAATTCCGCGCCCAATTACGAGACACTCTCTTGCATACGTCTTCCAAATTCTTTTGCATTCATGCAGAAGCTTCGAGGGTTTTTTGCTCAATTGTTTTCATTTCTCTTACGGGGAACCGACTACTGCATCAAGTTTTTACTGCTCACGTGTCACGTTATGCGTGCCTAGTGAGGCGTTTTACCTGGCTCTAAGCTTTTCAACTAGGTACACTTCAAGACAGATGCAGAGTACTCGCCTAACCGCTTCGCCAATATATTCGCCCTCCCCCCCTCGCCCCCCCCCTCCCCCTCGCTCCAATCATACAAGAGATTAGATATACCGTACCAAAGCTCAAGAAGTCGCCGTTTTTTACCGATAAGACAAGTATGCAGCATTCTGTTTCGCAGACACGATCATACAGTAATGCGGACCCAGTTGGTGCTTTATTTTTGTTAAAATACGTTTAGTTGTTGTGGTTCTCCCCATTCGAACAGAGGGCAGCATCAATGAGGCCTTAGTTTTCCTAAACAGTTAGCATGGAGGCTTAGCATTCTTCACTCCATCTAACCTGATGAGCTCCCATCGGTACGTGGCCGTTAAAAATAGGTTTTTTTGCACCAAGAATGCGATTTCTACCTTATGCTTTTTTCATCTGCATGCAATGGTAGGTAGCTGTTCTAAACATACTTTTCACCAGTGCGCATTTTGTGTGTGGTGGATGAAACAATATGTAATGTATAGTATGTTTTTCATTGCTTGGCTTTTCGTTCCACCTAGAGTTGTAGGCGCCTCAAGACAGTCTGACTGGAACGTTCCAAATGAAAGCCGGTTTCCTTTCAGTTTTACATGAGCAAATTTTATGAAACCTGACTGATCATTCATCAGTCCAAAACATTTGTTCATCTCCTCAAGTGTGGAGCTGATAAAAAAGCAATCATATCTACAGTTGAGAAATGGGAAGATGAATTATTTAGGCTTCCACCCTATACATGAAGGCTATAGCAAGGCCTGGAGCCAGTCACTGTACAATTCTCAACCCTCCCACTTGCGTAATATTATTCCCGGACCATTCCAGGACTGAACAGTTTAGGAACGCCTTTTAGAGGGTCATAGCCTGTCGATTTGAAAAGCTATACATGTATGTTTATAGCCCTTTCTTTACGCGTCGTGACAAGGCTGTGGATGAATTGCATTGTGAAGTCATTTAACACATTTACATAAACGCTAGTCATGTTCCTCATAACGTTTCTTTTTGCTAGAGTTACCTCAGTATTTTACTGGGTTGAATGCAGATAAATTTGACTATTCTACGCTCTGAAGAAATGATCCCAATGAAGCGCTGGCCATGGCAATATTATTGTACTGTATTAATGTACCCAATAAATACTACTATTGAAGGCCTCACATGTGCTTATCCAAAAGTGCATTCGAATATACATTCTATGTTGAGGTTAACAGATAGTCACTCGGTCCCTGTAATATATTAAATCAGTTTATTGACTTTAAAAGAAGAAAGTGAAGGCTCACTATGACACTGCACAGCACATCTCCATTTTCTTCCTTGACATTTCATCATCAATAATGAATCCTCAAGTTTCTAGGTGAATCTCGTGTAGAAAATCGCTCTTTGATTCGAACCGCAAGGAATTCTCTTATGAGATGTTGGAGTGAATATCGGGGTTCGGATGTTGCGCTTTTGCCACAGTTTACAGCCTTCCTTCGAATCAGGTAAAGTTTTAGCGTTTCTTCACTTTCATATCCTGCAAAGTTCTTTATCAATGCGTTATAGATTTAAAAAATGATGTATATTATAATATATATATATATATATATATATATATACATATAGATATATACATATATAATGTATAATTGCGTTCATTTATACGTCAATTTTCCTTGCACACAATTATCAGAATTATCACATCACCGAAGAATGCGAGGGCTATGATTTTAGAAATAAATTTGTTTAGCTTCTAATTGATGAGCAATTTTTTTACAATGTGATCCGCAGTGACTGAATGTTAGAATATGTTTTTGACATGGCGGGCTACCAATTCGTGATTTTGCTTTATGTGATCGATAAATCCTTTTTATTTCCCACTTTTTAGCGGTGCTGTGATATTACAGATACCCGCAATTATGTGGAGTGATGTGCAAAACTTTGACGTTAGGCGGGGCTTGAATCTGCACTTCACCTTTCCCGGAGGTGCGCGCTTTACCACTTACACTGCCAGCGCCTATTTTACCGCCACTCTTTCTATACTATAACGCATCAGGTGGCAAAACAACCGTTGGTAGTGCAGTTGGTTAAGCACACGCCCCCGGAAAGGGTGAAATGCGAGTTCGCGTCCTGCCCGACGTCAAGGTTTTGAACATCACTCAACATCATTGGGAATTTGCTCACTTCTGTGTTTGCGCATACGAAGTACAGTGTGGTAAACCGCTATCTTTCAATCTTTAGCCTTCTCAAATAGGAGTGATAATAAGCCATTTCTTTCTAGATGCAGATCCGGAGCATCAACGATAAGCGATGCTAAGAAACAAAAGGTCTTTTTCATCTTCGGGAACGGCCACCCTTCATAACCGTTATTTGTACAAGTGTATTGGACAATATGAAAAACATCAGAATCATTCATAGTGGACAATATTGAAGTATTACTAAGATATAAAATGACGCAGTGGTATAATGATGCTTATTATGAACACTTTGCTAAAAAAAACCTAACACTATGCTCATCAAGCCTCTCATCATTGCGGGTTTGAGGAATCGGTGCCATAGCTATCTGGAAAAAGTCCATTCTTTGCAATTCAAATGAAAATACTCACACGAAATTACCCGAGCTTAGTGGAGGAGAACTGACTTGCAAACATTCAACACTATTCATGAGAGAGAAAAATTTGAGAGCATCAGCCAAACTCTCAAGCAAAAAATTCGCAAAATCTTCATAGATGATGAATTCAGGAAGAAGTAAATGAAACAAGCGTTGAGGTACACACAATAGGTGTGAATAGGGATTACATGGACTGAATACAGTTCGCAGCACTTGGGTATTAAATCGACTCAATAGAGATGTTTTTTTGTTGTTCAGCTTTATTTTCCGTCCATGGAACCTACATAAACACTCAGGCAGTCGAAGGCTATCAATACGATGATAAGTTTTGTGATATAAAAGGTGTTAGATGCTGATCATCATCTGATGAGAACAAGGGATTTAATCCTGTGAAGGCCGTTTCATGTTGGGTGTTTGGAACCTTCAGCTCTTATCATCGACATTTACTTGAGATCTTCGTATGAATAACACAAATAGGTGATGTTTATTAATAGTAGAAATTCATTTACTTAGGCTGCAAACTAGTTACTTTCCTGATGAATTACGGAGAACTCAAACAACTGTGGCGCTCTTGCACTGTCCCGCGCATTAGGTTCAGCGTGTCATAGTGAAAAAAGAACAGATTGCACATTTACTCAAGACTTAAATTTTTTGTATACACTTGAACAAATTTTCTTGGAAAACGAAATCGGTTTCGAAAACTTCAACTTTGTTTTATTGGCGAATTCAGTGTATAATTAATGTGCGGCGAACTAATAAGTTAGGTGAAAAATCCTAGTTACTCAAGTGTGGAAGCAATAGCCTACAAAATTAGTAGGTTTTTAGTGGAAACTGGGCCTTCAATTTAGAAAAGATGTCCTCTCTATTGTTTCACACACATACTGCTTTCAGATCTTTGGCACAATCTTGTCAGAACTTTCTAATCACCCGGCGAGTCGGTGGCGTAGTAGGCTCGTCCCTCTTGGCAGAAATGTTGTCCTCAGTGCAAACGACATGTCATCGCTGAAATTCATGAGTTGAACTTGTAGTTATGTAGTTTCGCAGATCCTCTCAATGACTTATCATAATCACGATTGAATCATTCCTCATAACTCGTGCTTGTAGAGCACTCACTTTTCCTCAGAAGAATATCGGGTTGAAAAAGTCCATTAAGCATCCGCATATTCAGTTTTTTTTTGAGTGCTCTACGAAGCCAACCGCTTTGTTTTCTATTTTCGATTATTCGTGCTAGTTTTTAGTTCTCCTAGAATTCCTGTTTGAATTCATCGTTTTTACAATAGAGGCATTTGTAATAACGTGTAGACTTTAAATTTATGGAAGTGTTCTCCTACCTTTCGATCTGTGCATTTTTCTATGAATTTTGCTTTTACGTTATATGTTGAGTTACTAGGAAACGATTTTCTTCTGCCACTAAAATTTTCCTGTGGTAATGTAACAAAACGGGATCGCCTTCTAAACAGATTACACATGCACCACCATCAACAGTATTGCCTTCCATACGGGTGACATTTTCTCGCCTTTGCATTTTTTTTTGCCGCTGATGTGTTTTCACTAAATAAATCTTGTTGAAGCGGTTTTTTCAAACGACACTGCATACTCGCATGTATACGCACATATACATATACATGAATATATCTATACATTCGTATACGAAAAGCTCTATAAAGCCATTGTCGTCTACCAATTTCTACAAAAATCGTCATGCTGTCGATTTCAGTAGCTTCGTTAGAGAGACTGAATATAACATATCTTTGTCCTTTACACTCGCGGTGGCCCTACCGATGTATCAAGTCAGTGCTGCTTTACCACCAAACAAATGTGTACCATTTTGCCAACCCCAGTGGATGGAAGATTTGGTAAGCTTGACTAAAACGAGCGATCAAACCAGCAGACAAGGCATGTGTTCCAGGCACTTCTAGTCTGTGCTTGGCTTCCATATAAATTTAATGATAATTGAAATAACTATGTGATGAGCATAAATTTTGCTAACTTTGATTCTTAGTGTACTTTCAAAGAATCTTCATAAAGCGCTGTAAGAGCGAAAACATGTTATGTTTTCCACTCAAAAAGCTAGCCTTTGGTTTGAATTCCAAAGAGTATTTGTTTGCTATGCAAAATGAAAACAGATAGCCAATTTCTGAACAACGATAGAACTTTTCAGAGACTTATCAACTCTTCTAAATAAATAACGAAAATTGCGTTTTTTCGAGGCGCTCCGCGCCATTGGAGGGAGCGCGATTTTCGTTATTTATTTAGAAAATTTTTCCTCTATCGCGCAGAACTGCTCAAATTTCTTCCGATATTCTAATACCACACAACTGCCTTCAAATGTTTATTCGTTTTTAATGCTTATGTACTCATTATTTTGGAAGAAAACTCTGAAGGTGAAATGTGATTTTCTTCGTGCTCTTACGGCAAATATAGAGAACTTTTTAGAAAAAAATTCTCCAAATTATCATAGCTTATGCTACCAGATGGCTTGTGAACTCTGAATAGAAAGCTATTCTCAGATCGAAGCCCAACGAACAATGAAAGCCGGTTGTGAACTATATTTCATTCTTGCACTTACAGGTCACTAAGGAGCTTTTCTCGCGAGTTAAGTAAGGCATCGCAACCGCGGAGATCTGAGATAGCCAGTCAATCTTAACAGTCTCAAGTCTAAGGTGTAAGCTTTCTCCACCGAAAAAGGCTTGGTCTCCAAGGCCTTTTTTACGTTTTATCAATGACCTAGCATCTCATGCAATGCGCATTATCAATTTTGACTAATTTTTTCATTGTTTTTCTAATTTCATACAATGTTTATAGCTTCTGAGTATTCTAAATAATAAAACACGTCAAAATAATAGATTCGGACAATAATATTCTTTGCAGAATTTGATACATTCGCCAGGATGCCAAAATAGTACGTTTACGGATTGAGAGGAAGCTTTTTAGCCACATATGAGGGGTATAATTGCACCAAAAGCATACGAACGTGTAGAAAAAATAGTGAATTATCGAAGTATTACAGACCTAGAATAATTACCAAAACTCGCGCGTCGGGTGTGATGCGTACTGCGCACCCGCAATTTCTACCATGGTTCCGAAAAGATTATGAGAATTTTTTCAGAAAAAGCAATTCCCAAGACCGACTGTCTATTAACCTCGGCATGCTTCAGTATGATTTTTGATCTTCTTCTTTAAGCAGAACACGAGGTGTTAAACTGAACTTTATTCGATAGCTGACGTTTCGGCAGTTCGCCTTCTTCAGAGCCTGGAAAGGTCAAAATGTCCGCAATCCAATAAGCCAAGTACCAGCAAGATTCTTCCGACTGACAAAAGAAGCATTATCACTAAGGCAGAAAATTGTTTTAGCTCGACAATGTGTGAAGTCTCTCCGACGCTGCATACAACATCGAATCGTTCCGAACTTCATAAAACGAAAACGACTTCACGCGATATGTGGTGTACCAGAGGACAGCCATCGAATACTGGATATCGAAATGAAAGTGCTCCGCGCCTGTCTACGAAGCAAGCAGGACAATCTGTACGCTATGCTGAAGAAGTGTGCGGCGAAGGAATATTATTGTGATCAGTATTTGAAAGGCAACCTTTGGAGGAGAATTACTGGCTCTGAAGAAGGCGAACTGCCGAAACGTCAGCTATCGAATAAAGTTCAGTTTAACACCTCGTGTTCTGCTTAAAGAAGAAGATCAAAAATCATACTGAAGCATGCCGAGGTTAATAGACAGTCGGTCTTGGGAATTGCTTTTTCTGAAAAAATTCTCTTAATCCTTTCGGGAACATGGTAGAAATTGCGGTGCGCAGTACGCATCACACCCGACGCGCGAGTTTCGGTAATTATTCTAGGTCTGTAATACTTCGATAATTCACTATTCTTTCTACACGTTCGTATGCTTTTGGTGCAAATATAAACCTCATATGTGGCTAAAAAGCTTCCTCTCAATCCGTAAACGTACTATTTTGGCATCCTGGCGATTGTATCAAGTTCTGCAAAGAATATTATTGTCGGAATCTATTATTTTGACGTGTTTGATTATTTAGAATACTCAAAAGCTATTACAGTGTCCTGAAATTAGAAAACAATAAAAAATTAGCCAAAATTGATAATGCGCATTGCATGAGATGCTAGGTCATTGATAAACGTAAAAAAGGCTTTTGGAGACCAAGCCTTTTCGGTGGAGAAAGCTTACACCTTAGACTTGAGACTGTTAAGAGTGACTGGCTATCTCAGATCTCCGCGGTTGCGATGCCTTACTTAACTCGCGAAAAAAGCTCCTTAGTAACCTGTAAGAGCAAGAATGAAACATAGTTCACAACCGGCTTTCATTGTTTGTTGGGCTTCGATCTGAGAATAGCTTTCTATTCGGAGTTCATAAGCCATCTGGTAGCATAAGCTATGATAATTTGAGAATTTTTTTTCTAATAAGTTCTCTATATTTGCCGTAAGAGCACGAAGAAAATCACATTTCACCTTCAGAGTTTTCTTCCAAAATAATGAGTACATAAACATCAAAAACGAATAAACATTTG